GGCTCTGCATAGTATACCGGATTAGGTCCGATGGGATTCCGCTCCACAATCCGATGCAGCAGAGGCATGCTTCCGCAACTAAGCCAAAGACGATGGAGGTCCACTGAAGTGCAGTAGCGGTGCGGCGTGATGATTTCTTAGTCTACTTGGCGTCTTCCCCGGGGCTCGGGAGTTCTGGAGGGAGGCTCTACTGGGAACGTGAAAGCTGGAAATAGTCTAATGGTGGGCAGCCCTTACAACACAACAACCACGCGTGCAAATAAAAATTTAAAAAGTGCAAAATATTCGCAATAGCTAAGAGTATATATATTAAATACTTAATTATTGTTAAAAGAACTCTGTTGTGCGTTGCAAGAGAAGAAAAGGTTAGTGTTCTAAATCTTACTTCCGGCTTTCACGTTCCCACTAGAGGGAGGTCAGAAAGTTCTCGACTCGTGACGTGAGGTTCCTTGTTGGCCGTTGAGTCAAACCCGATCTTCTACCGACACCGTTGGGCCTAGCGTGTGAGCCTAATTCGACAATACATTCCTCGTACTAGACGGGTTGCTGTAAGCCCCTCGTTGTTGTTCGGCGATATCGACGTGTTGCGATGAGATGGTGTTGTGGTAGTGGTCGTGTGTTCACGACGTTGCAAGACGTCCCCGCATCGCCTGACCGTCATACGTCATCACTAACAAATCATGTGGCATTGTTTCCCTGCATGTCTTTGATCCGCAATGCACAGCAAACGCTTTTTGCAAACTTGAGAGGTGGAAAAGCCATGAGACCATTGTTCTTGACATTTCAATATCCAACTACTCTTCTTTTCCCACCCGTACAATAATTGGCGGACCGTAATCGCAAGGACGCCCGGGACAGTACCCCAAGCATCAATCAACATGTCAGCAACCAACGAGCAACCAGTCGAGACGCCAGTCAACAAACTCAACGCAAAGCAGCAGAACCGAATCCAGAAAAGACGACTCGCACGTCAGCAACTCACCACGCACCTCGCTCTTGTAAGAAAGAACAGCAAAACAAACGACCCTCCACGGATCGCAGGATGCATGCGCGCACCGCGAGGCCCAGATGGCCGCTTCCTCCACCGCGAACACGTCGTCACAAAAGCAACAGAAAGTCTCAGCATACAAGAGACGACAGCAAAGCCCGTAGAAAGTGTGAATGAGAAGCCAAAATCCTGGACGCCATGGGTAGTCCCGTCTCTCTCCAAGACACCAAAAGCTTCCCGACTTTAGCTTCATACAAGACCGGGGAGTACTTCAGATCCCCAGCACCCAACCGTGTGAACACCGTGGACGCACTGGATACCTCCCCGCTCCCTCATTCCCTCACAGAACGAAGCCATCATGCTCCCTGTCAGCTTCTTCCTGCGCCCTGCCAATCGGATCGTCGGCATAAACCACTTTCACCTCCCACATACTGCTCGCGTTCATACCGATCAAGATACCCCCTCCTTTAGTCCCCTTCTCCCATTTCTTAGTCTTCTTCACGTCCTCCGTATCAAGGAGCAGGACGGTGAAGATATGTTCAGCGTCTTCCTTCGCGTCAGCGCGGTCGACGTAGGAAGCGTGAAGCTTGGTTGTAGCCGCGTATCCTTTTGGCTTGGAAGCCGTGAACTTCGAAGACAAGGAGGTGGAGGAAGAGTGTTCAGCGTGAGCAAGAGGGCCAGCGGAGATAATAGTGTAGACGGGTGCAGGCAAGATATCGAAGACGTCTTTGTTGATCTCGCGATGTATCTTCAGTATAGTGTAGACGCCGCGCTGGCCCTCGACAATGAATGTGTCGAAGCCTTTTTCCAAGAACTCTTCATCAACCTCCTTCTCTTCATCTTCGTCATCTTCAAATAGGAAGTCGTCGTTTGGCTTCTCTTTCAGGAGAGCATACTTGTCGATTGCGGGAGGTGAGTTGCTGACAACGTCTTCAATTTGAGGAAGGAGGTGGCGGAATGCTTTCGCAGGGCCGGTGAGTTCGTAAGAATCGATGTGTGGTCGGATGATGCTCAAGTACCAGATTGTGTTGGGTTCGACGTCGATGAAGGCGAGCTCATCGACTGGCTTGTCGACTTTGGGAGCGGGGATTGGAGTGGATTTGTTGAAGGGCATGACTTCATCGTCGCCTTCGAAGTAGATGCCTTTGTCCATGGTGAGATGTAGGGATAGTCGAGTACCTGTGATATCGTCGAGTATCGTAATGTCCGTGCGAAGGCAATGTAGTCTGGGGCGGTGCTTGAAAAGTTTATGAAGGTGAGAGGGATGGGCAATGTATACTGTAAGAGCAAGCACGGACGTTATAGCCTGCGAGCGTTTGTTAGATGACGTCGTCGCTTGTGGTTTGCGGTGTCGCGGTGAAGGCAGGACTGGCGCCTGGAGCTATCGGGCTCCAGTATGGGGCGCCGACAGACCGATACAAACAATCTTGTATACCGCCACGGGGGTTAATGGCGTGCGATATCGCCTAGACAAGGCGGTATGTAGGCGCCAACTCTCTCATCTGGAATCGAGGAACGATATATCAGCGGCAGTTCGAAGTGACTCCAGACGATCGTAGGATTGTGCATTGGTATCTCCTAGCAAAGTAAGACATTCCGCCTCTTAGAATACATAGTGTGCTTTTAGACTCAGTCCCTGAACGCCAGAGCGCCATACGCATGCAGAACGTGACATGTGATTGTCACTCAGCCTTCCATATGACGACACCGCCTAGTGTCTCTTCGCCCTCTTATCCTTGCCAGGCCGTTTGCTTGCACCGCCGCTGGGCTTGCCCTTCATCCTTCGAGCCGAGAAACCGCTCCCGTCTGCGCTGGATTCGGCGGTGTTACTCTTCGCGTGACGCTTCTTGCCACCGAAGCCGTACTTCGAGTCCTTCTTCTGGCGCTTGTTGAAGTCCTTGCCGCCAGCACCACCGCGACCGCGGCGCTCGGACTTGTCGTCATCAGCGGTAGCGGCGACGTCGAAGAGGTCTTCCTCGTGGGTAGCTGTGATGTCGGCTCCTTGTCGCTCTGCAGGTTTGTCAGTATACTGTCGTTCAAGTTCTCAGATATGGGTACAACATACTCCTCTTGAGAGTCTGGATCTTCTCAATGGTGTCCTTCTTCTCCTTTGCGCGCTCCTGCAGCTTCGCGACCTGAACCTGCTTTCCGAACTTCTTCAAGTCTCTCTGCTTGCGTGCCTCAGCAGCAGCCTTCTTGCCTGCCGCGGCATCAATCAGCTTCTGCTTGATCTTGCCCATGTGCTCGTCGCTCTTGACCATCTCGGCGAAGTAGTCGGCTGGCCGAGAGAACGACACACCCTCCTTCTTCAGCTTCTTCCGCGCATCCTTGACCGAGGACAGGCATTGCTTGTAAAAGGCGAGCTCACGGTTGAGGTCGTCCTCGACGTCGGCGATCTCGACAGGCTCGTCGGTGGTTACGGACTGGTATTCCGAGAAAGCGAGTTTCGAGTAGGGGAGTTGAATGCGGTTCAAGGCTGCGGTGAGAGCGGCGGTATTGTTGATGGTAAGGCGCTGGTGCGGGATAATGTCACCCTTGTCCTCTGAAGCGACAGAATCGAGATCGGATAGCGCAATATCATCCTCGTCCTCGTCCTCGTCCTCGTCCTCGTCATCTTCAGCGTCTTCATCCTCCTCTGCGGCCTCATCAGCCTGTATCTCCTCCTCGTCTGAGCTGATGTCGCTATCGGTGTCGTTGAGGTGGTCAAGGTCTACTTGAAGTCCATTGGGCGCGTCTTCATCGTCGCTTGCGTCGTCATCGTCATCCTCGCCCTCGGTCTCCCACTCGGGCTCCTTGACTGCTGGCGCAGCCTTTGCGTCGGCCTTCTTGTCCTTCTTCGACTTCTTTGTCTTGCCATTGACCTTCACCTCTACCTCATCCAGCGGCACAGGCACGCCACCCTCCTCAGTATCCTTCTCGCCCTCCTCCGCAGCTTTCCTGGCCTCGCGCTTTTCCTTGCGCTTCAGCGCCTGCTTGACGTACTTCTTCTGCTTCTCGCGCTTGATGTCGCGGCCCTGGTAGTTGTCGAGCGCCGACTTGAGCACGCCTTTCTTCGCCATGTCGTCTGAGTTTTATGAGGTTCTGGAGGGTGTGGAGTATTGGACGTCGCAAAAGACAAGACGTCAAAGCTTCCCAGAAAATAATTCGTGAACTTCCAAGTCTGGGCGCAGAAACATTTTAGCGCGCACGCTAGCCTGACCGCCTACGAAACGGGCAGGAAGCCGCGGCGAAGACCACGTGCTCCGCGACCTTACATATCCGCCGTATATGTGCAACTCTCCTGTTGTACCATAGCAGAAAGTTTGACAATCGCCTTGTGAGATACTGAACTATCTCGAATTCGCAGACTATTCGTCTTGTTCTCTGCTATCCTCACGAACACATTCAATCATGGCTACGCCACAACCACTAGCAGACCGCGCGCAAAGCGACACTGCGGTACGTGCTTGTTACACTCACGATGCCCCGCTCTGCCTAACATGCGCATAGTCCGCCGTCTCAAAAGATGCCGAAAGTTCTGGAGAGCTCACAGCAGTTGTCGATGATCTCCTGAATCAACTCAACACCAAGTTCACCACAGTCAGCAGCGAGCTGCTTGCCAAAAGTAAGCACAAGCATGTCTAAAGCAGATACACTAGATGCTGACGATGCGTAGTGGATGACATGTCACGGCGGCTGGATAACCTCGAAGCTACTATCCAGGCTGGAGATGGTACGAAGGGCTCAGGGTCTGGCAAGTAGATTTGCAAAGAAGGCATCGTGTTTGGTCAAAAGCAGGCGGTGTGCATCGCGCATATCTCAGTCATTGGCGTTTAGTGTTAAATTACATAGATCGTATGCAATCTGGGTATTGACTTTTGGTTCTCTACTACTTGTTCCTCTTTCTGATTGTCATGATCACGTATGCCTGTCGCTCCTGCGCCAGGCCTCTTTGCGCCCCCAGCTCATCTAATCATCTTAATAGTGTTGATGGTATGCCTCATTGCGGAATCTTACTTCACGCACGGGTCGTCTACAACTCCGACTTCTCCTCCTCAGCATCACCCATGAACTTCCTCAGAATGTTGCTCCTGCTCATCAAGTCATCCATCTTCTCGGGTGCCAGGTTGCCCTTGGCAATGAGTCCCTGCAGACGCTTAAGCTCCTTCGCAGCGTACTCCTGGTTGGCACCGATCTTGTTGAAGACCTTGACGTAGTATTCGGCGTACTTGTCCTGCAGAGTACCGGCGAGGGTCTTGGCCTCCTCAGCACCGCCGGCCCACGAACCCTGGAACTTCTCAATGAGGGTGTTGAAGGCCTCGATGGTGCCACCAGTGGCGTCAAGTCCACCACCGACCGCACGATGGGTACCGGCGTTTGCGTTGATGAAGTCGATGAAGTCCTTCTCGGCGCGGGCGCCGTTATAGGGGAGGGGCTCGGTGGAGCCCTTGGGGAAGTATTTGATGGTCGGGTAGGATGACACGCCTTGCTCCTGTGCGAGGGCCTTGGAGTTCTCAGCTTCAGCGTCGACCTTGGCGATCAAGACACCGGGTTCGGTAACGAAGTCGTTCGCGAGGGTCTCCCAGACGGGGGCGAGGGTCTTGCAGTCTGTCCAGATGTTAGTTATGACCAGTTGATCAAGAGAAGACTAGGAAGACATACGTCCACACCATGGAGCAGTGAAGGCAACGAGCACATCCTGGTCCTTTCCAACCTTCTCCTTGAAGGTCTTGTCGTCCAAGTAGACGACCTGGCTAGGCAGCTTGCCCTTGACCTTGGGCTTGACCGAGCTCTTCTCTGTGATGAACTTGCTCAAGCTCTCGAGGTCACGTCCGCCGCTGTAATCCGTAGGCTTGTCGCTCTTTCCGTCGAACCACTTGAGGGTAGGGAAGCCTGAGACACCGAAACGCTTGCCGAGCGCCTTGTGAGCATCAGCATCGACCTTTGCGACGCTGACCTTGTCTCCAGCGTGCTGGAAGACGCCAGCGAGCTCATCGTAGACGGGGGCGAGGTTCTTGCAGTGGCCGCACCAGGGAGCGAAGAACTCTACGAGGGCGGGCTTGCCGGACTTAAGAACGACATCGTCGAAGTTGGAGGGTGTGAGGTCGATGACGGCCGATGCCGAGGCAATTGCGGGCAGCAGCGCAATGGCCGCGGGTATTAAATTGCGGAAAAGCATCTTGAAAGTGTATGAAGCTCAAGGATGAGTTGAAGCTCCAAATGTGTGTTGAAGAGCGGTGGGAAATCTGGTGGGGAGCTAGAGCAGCACAGCGGCTATCAGGGTCCCGCGGTGGCGATCGCTAGTCTGAAAGGTGTCCTTACGCGTCTCAACTTTACAAATCCAACACCAACGCGACGGGATGACGTACACTGGATAGTGATCACGCATACTAATCACGGTCTTGGTCGTATATACAGCTGTTGATGAATATTTTATACTACAACATGCATTCAATTCCTGGGTATCACAAAGACATCGCCCTCCAGACCTGCAGGTGGCCATCACCTCCCAAACCCTCCAGATCTAATGCAACGACATCTTCCAATTGTTCCCCCCAGTCATCCCATAGCTACCACTAACCGTCTTCTCCTCTTCGCTCTTCTTTTCTTCTGTGACCTCTGGCTTGGCCTCTGCCTTCTTTGCCTCTACCTTCTCCTCCTTAACCTTCCCGAGCTCACCAGCAACCTTCTCCACAGCAGCCTTCAGCGCCCTCACATCCGCGCCCCTGATCTCCTCAATCTTCTTTCCATCCTTGAAGACCATGAACGTAGGCATAGCTGTGACACCATATTGCCCCGCGATCTCCCTTTGCTCATCTACGTTGACTTTGACGAATGCGAATTTCCCTGGTGAGGCGTGCGTAGTGGAGAGTTGATTGTAGATGGGCGCGATTTGCTTGCAAGGTGGACACCATGTTGCGTAGAAGTCGGCGATGAGATATGTGTGACCGTTCAGGAGAGTGCGGAAGTGTAGGGGTGCTGAGATCTCTGTTGGCATGGTTGATGTTGGGGTGTCTGTCAAGGCGGCGTGCTGAGGTTGTGTGTCGAGCGATTTGTGTGTTGTGTCTTGCTGAAGGGCTGTTGAACGGCGGCTGTGGTGTATTGAAGCTGTCGTCAGATCCGGGCTGTACTTTTGTATTTGTTGCACTGCGATGGCGCGACCTTGTAGAATGTTCTTTCCAATAGATGCGCCATACCACGAATGGTCTGGCCAATCAGCATTTGTCATCAGCATCACGATCACGTGTCGGTGCGCTTGCCGCAATTGGTAGTCGGTGATAGCAGTTCTGCGCGGGAGAGGCTATATATGCTGGCGCGATGCGTATACGGAACCTTTGAGCGGAGTCATCAGTCATGCAGATGGGAGGGCCTGTTCTCAACTGATGGATGATCTCGCGAAGGTTGATTCGACAGTGCAATGATATACATGCTGAGTGGTAGCAACCTTGAATTCCAGAAAGTCCACAACGCCTCGCTATGCCATCATGAGCAGTTGAACCCAGGTGCTTTTCAAGAATTGAATGGCTTTTCAAAGCTCAGCCCCCACCTCTGCCCAGTATCTCCTCCCTCTCCAACACCTCGGGCTTGAACTTGATCAGAAAGACCGTCTTTCCCGGCCACAGACCTTTGCCCTCTTCATCGCCTACACTATGCGCTGTCACGCCCTCGGTCGGAAACCCCGCACCGTCGCACACACCCTCAATTATACCTGCCACGAACGCCGCGCAGTTCAAACTCGACAGTTCTTTGGGCAGACTTATGTATTGGTTCACCATGGGGTCGTTGTCGAAGAGCATGTACTGTCCTGGGTCGGTGCCAGACTTTTCTAATGCATCCGCGGGTCGACCGAATAGGTATCGGTATAGCTGTTGTGCGATGAATTGGAGGAGAGGCAGGATACGAGTGGGCCGAATGCTCGCGAGGGGGTTGGCGGTTCGGGAGAGGAGGAGATCGAGGAGGCGGAGGCCAATTGGGTAGCCTTGTGTGTTGAGTCTATACAGCAATTAGAAAATACTCGGCAGCCGACAGTAAATTCCCGCAGTGCAATGTAAGGTATTGCGACTGCATTTGTCTAGCATACCTCTGCTCCAAGTCCCCCACATCCTTCGCGCCCTTTTGCGCATATGCAATCATCTCAATGAAGAGGTACGCAAACGCCGCTCTGCTAAGCTCCGCATTCTTACTCCGGTTGAGATTCCTGTCGTATATGCTCTTTTTATTCGACGGGTACCGCAGCCCAGGCCCTTGACTTGGGGTCCCGCTCATTGCGATGTGCTGCCCTTGTGGTTGCGATTGTGTGCCGGGTTGCGGACGGATCGTAGCTGCAGAGGAGGACGTCGATGGCTTTTGCGCAGTGTCTACGGACCGCGAGAGAGACGACTGGCGCGAGGGGTAGTACGAGTGGTGTAGGGGCAGGATGTTGGACATGGTCGCTATTGAACCCTGGCGGTGTTGTTTGGCGGAGTGATGTGGGTCGGAGGGTCGTGCGTCGTGCGTCAGACTTGCCGCGGGTCGAGGATGCTAGGGATCATCTTCGGTGCTTAGCTAACACACGACTTTAACAATACAACAAGTTTCGCGATTCTCAATCACTTCTACCCGGCATGGTAGGAAGCGTTCTTTGCTGACTACGTTGGGACGGAAACCTCAGTGCCTGGGCCTCTGAGATTGCCATTGATGCAGCCAATCCTTGACACCGTGTCGCATCATTCATTGGTTCGGGGGAGGAAGAGGAAGAGTAATAACGTGGTGCAGCAATTGTCTCTCGCATTCACTATAGGGCGGCGTGCTCTTCGATGCTACGTACTAAAATGGAGCGGAAAGGTATGAAGCCACCATCCCCAACATCTACATTTCTCCGTTGTGTCGCGCTTCAGCATGACGACAAACCGCCTGGACTCCGCGCTTCGATCGCCACCCATCGTGCTCAGCAGCAGTCTCCATGTAACCATCGGGCATCTCAACCATATCTCCATACAGCTTCTCGAGCTTCTTCTTCTCATCGTCCACGCCTTCCGAGCCGACTACTTTGCGTACCTCAACAGATGATGCCTTCCTCGAGTCCTTGTACCATTCCTTAAACCTTTCTGTCAGGTTCATCTGGTGCGACTCAAGAACCCTCATCATCGGCTGCACATCGGTGCGGCGGATATCGAATTGAATCGGAATGATGGCAGTGGTGTAGTTCGGGTCCGCAGCAACATCGCGCATGTGAGGTGCACCAGACTGCTCCATCTCAAGCTCCGCGCGCAGGTCACCGTTGAGCTTTCTCTGATGCTGTAGTGCAGCCAAAGCATCACCGCGTTCCTTCTTCATCCTTCGTTCGGATGCGAGGTGGCGCTGCTTGTCACCTTGCGCGTCTTTGGCCTTCTCTTCCTCCTTCCCCGCCATGTCCTTAGCATTCTTGACCTTCTTGTTGGCACCCTTCAGCTTCCGCGTCTTTCCATCGTTCTGATTGCCAAGATTGACATGTTCGTACTCGATGGTCTTGAGTGTGTCCTTCAGCTGCGTGTTTTCGGATTGCAGACGCGTGACCTCGCTTTCGAGGCGGTTGAGACGGCGTACGGTGTCAGTCGGAAGATCAGACCCAGCAGCGGTTTTGGCAGTCCTTCGATCTAGATCGTCGATGGTTTTGCCTCGTTCCTCAGCCTGCCCTTTCCAGTATTCGCATTGTTGACTCAAGGTTGCGATGGTATTTCTCAGACGGGCCTCTTCACCGTGTTTCGCTTCCTGTTCTTCATCGACTACGTTCTCGTGCCAGGGACCACGGGCGGACTCTACAGTAGACGCTTTGTGTACTGACAGAGTAAGCGACAATGTCCCGGAACGCAAGTCGTCAGGGTCGTGGAAGAGTGCGTCCAGATTGAAGCTCATCTGTTGTGGGTTAGTATGAGCGCAGGCTTAGCTGTTCTTCGACTTACCTTGGATTGTACTTAGGTGGCTACACTGTCTCGACGCGAAGAAAGCGACGATCTGAGGTTGCAGCGTAGTCGTCACGCCAAGCATTTAGACCCTGGCGAGGTGAAAGCCAAACAAGACGAAACGGGAAGGCGCGCTGGTCACCGCTTCACCCCAAGGCATCCTCTGATCCGATCACTCAATTCTCAATTGCTCTATAACAGCTGCGAGATCTCGCACGCGGAAGGGCTTCGGAACTGCGTCGTCCATTCCAGTCTCTCGCGCGCGCTTCAGTTGCTCGGGTCTTGCATTTGCGGTAACAGCGATGATGTGTAGATGCTTATCGATTGACCCGTCTTCCTGCGCAGCGCGAATCATACTCGCGCACTCAAGCCCATTGACAATGGGCATCTCAATGTCCATAAGAATGACGTCGATACGTGGCTCATCGCCGCGTGGTTGCGATGAGGTTGAGCCTTTCCAGTGTTGCGTAGTTTTGATGAAGTCGAAAGCTTCTTGGCCGTTGTCGGCTGTGTAAACGATATAGCCCTGGAGTTGCAGCTGTTTCTTGAGCACCCGTTGATTGACCATGTTGTCTTCAACAAGCAGGATGCTAGATTGCGTGGTCGGCGGCGCATCCGCAGCGGTACCCATCGCATGAGGCAGCGACGAGGTTGGTCCTTCGGTAGTGATGGACTTTTCGGAGCTCCTGGTAGATAGAGACGGTCTCGGTGGTAGAGCCCTGGAAGCTTTTGTATAGAAGGCAAACGTCGACCCGATATGTTGCTGAGACTGGAAGCCAATCTCGCCACCCATCAAGCCCACCAATTTCTTGCTAATGGACAACCCCAGCCCAGACCCGCCGTATTTGCTGTAGGTCTTGGGCATGTTCTGGGTGAACTGGCTGAAGACGCGCGCTTTGGTCGATTCATCCATTCCGCATCCTGTATCTTCGACTTTGAACCACAAGAATATTGACCCGTCCGACGGTTCGACGTCGAGTACCGGTTGATCGGTTGGTTCACTCTTTTGGACTGCTTTGATGAGACCGTCAAAGATAGCAGTGGGTGGCCAAGCTGCTACTCCGATGCGAACAGTGACAGCTCTTTCGGCGGATCGATCCTTGGTGAACTTGATTGCATTGGCGACCATGTTGAATAGCACTTGTGTCACTCTGCCCGGATCAGCATCGATCCAGTCAACGTCGAGTTCGCTCAATGAAGCATCAGCTACAGCTACAAGCTGAACTCCAGCCTGTTCAGCCTCAGCTCTGAAAGTGCTTTCGACTTGATTCAAGAAGGTCTTGACGTGAAAGACTGTTGGACAGATCTCCAACAAATTCGAATCCAGTTTGGAGAGCGAGAGGATGTCATCGATGATACGTTTCTGATGCATGGTGCATGCCATGATCGTATCGACAGCATCGCCAATACTGCTGTTCAAATTCCGCAAGTCGTCGGCGGTACGGGAGTTGTCATTGTCGGGTGCGCTTCGCTTCTCGCACTGGTTGAGGAGAAGCCTTACTTCAGAGAGCGAGTGGGCTATGGAATCCGCACAGTGCATAACAGCACTAAGAGGATTTCGAATCTGCGGTATGTTAGGACATGCAACGACCCGTCCGGAATCCAAAGCGTACTTCATGGCTCACCATGTCAACGAAGCTTCGCCCTGTTAGCACATGGAAGCACACCCTGAGTAGGTTGTCATTTACTTCTCTTGTTGTCGTTTGGCCTCCACGGCTTCTTGCAGCCGCGATTCGCTGAGATGAAGCTGCTCCAGAGCTGCTGCGCGAGCAAGCTCTTGTTGTTTGAGCGCTTCTTCTTTGGCGAAAATGTCATTTCCTATGGCAATGCTTTCTCTCCGGATTTTCTCGGTACGGCTCCTAGCTTCAATGTTTGCCATCGAGATCACTTCGTGGGAGAAGTCACGATGGAGTGTCTTGATCCAAGTTTGGTAGGAGCGGTCGTAAGGTGTACGAGGTGCCAGACCGACGATTAAGACAGCATGAACATTGGCAGTCCGGTTCGAGACACTTGGCAATATAACCGCCTGGTGGCAGGTGTCGCCATAGCATCGGTTCGTAGATGCTTCGCACATCTCCTTGGGAAGAGTACCGTTCTCAGCTTGGAGAAGTACCGGCGAACGAGAATCGACACTCCTGAAGAAGCTTTTCACCCATGCTTCATCCATACTTGGCTTGATTGTGGATAAGGGTGCGGCTGGGAAGGAGCCAACGGTGCCGGAGAGGGCAAAGGCTAGGGAGTTGGCTTGGTTGTTGGAAGGACCAATCTCGTTCACACTGTCTTGGTTCGTCTCGACGCGGTACAGAGCAGCGAACGATATGTCCCCATCTCCGTTAGATATGCCCTTCAAAATTGAAGGCCATAGCGTCTCCAGACTCGAAGCAGTCTCGCAAGCATTGCGGAACTCGTCTAGAGAACGCTCGCGGCGAGAGTCCAACACGTCTCGGGTAACGTTGTGGGTTGTGGCATGGAAGCCGCCCAGGGTCGGCGGTAAGCCCGTCGTGGTGATGGACAAGAAGATTTCCTCAAGGCGACCATTTCGGGAGAAGAAGAATGGTGTATGTTGGTCGCTATCAACTCCAGACTTTTCGCTTGCGTACCCGCTCAGTGTGTCGCCTTCGGGCAGCTGCTGAATTAGAGCTGTGTTGAGACTTATAGGTCGCCCTTGGTACAGCGGATGGTGGTCATGCAGCAGTCGACCATACGCTGTGTTGTAAAGGACGGTCGAATCCGAGCCAAGTAAGAAGAGCTGTGGTTGAGGAGAGAGCATGGCGACATGGATGAGTAACAATAATTCGCGAGGCCACGATGAAATGAGTCCGGCGGCGGTTCTGGCCCAGTCCAAGTCCCGAATATACTGCAAGTCGGCGTCGATGGCTGCGTCGCCCGTCGGGCTCGTGAGGAAAGAGAGGTGAGGCTGCTCAAGCTCTACCGCCATAACGATGTCGATAGCGCGACCAGACAAGAGAAAGATGTTATGGTACGGACCCGCGGGCTGCTGCGCCAGTATACATCTCAGCCACAATCCGTCGTTGGTGCCGGTCCCGGGGTCAACGGCTTCATGAGTGGCAAGCCAGACGTCTCGTGAGAATCTAGACCGCGCAGGCCATGCAGATTGCTCTGTCCAGAGTCTGGACTATCGAACCCATGGACCCCTACACTGTTCTCCGGAACATGCCGTTCAAGGGCTAGGCACGACGCACTGTCTGGTGGGGAGGAACCTGCGAATACGTTTCAAGTATGCAGGCAATGGCTTCGCGATGCCATACAGATGCCGCCTTAGAGCGCTGAGTCGCTGACGCTCAACGCAGCGAGCTGAGCCCATCCCTGAAAGTGTTCCGCAACCACGGGGCACATTGATGTGAAGGGCATAGCCAGCCAAAAACAAAGACTAGCATAGATGAGGCATCACGGCAGGAATGCAGTGGATTGGCGTGCATAGCTCGCCTGTCAAGCCTCAAGCAGCGTCGTGGCCAGATCTCTGCAGGTGCTTCAGCCTAGCCGACAGCGGCTAGTGCACCCGCCCCTTCTGCGATCTCGAGGCCCGGGACTATCTTGCCGCCCGTTGTTTTTTAGCCACAGCTGACCTTTCTTCTGCTTCGGCAGGAGCGATAGGTTAGTCTATTCAAGCATCGTTCAAAAGGAGTTTCAAAAGCCTCGTGCCTGGCTTCCGACTGGTTTTGAGGCAGTTGTGGCTCCAATAGCTGCCGGCACTCCCTACACCTCGCTAGCGCGATCGTCGATCTGTTCACACTACGGATTTTGCCTTGGAGAGAGATTCCATTCGTCCAACAGCGGAATAGACCTTAAGCTCGAAAGTTGAACCTCCGTTTCGCTTGACCATCTCAGCGAAGAATCCAAAAGGTTCGCAGTGTGAGAGGAAGCGCTCCCTAGACGACGCCTGCGACACTTCACAACGAAAACCTCTCGGAAAACCTCAGGTGCGCAACCCACAATCATTCATGGGTTTTAGCTATGAAGGGGCTGATGTATCACGGCCTCGCGGGACGCCGGTCGTCCTTTCGTAAATCGTTGGGCGGAAGGAGCACACAGGCATCGACTCTTGCACTAATGTTTGGCAGATCCGGCTACTCCACCAGCGTGTTCAAGTCACTTCCACCCTGTCTGGTCTGCCGCCTGATCACACGTACCATTATTACATCCAGAATTGTATGCAGTCGTAGCGCGTAGTCACGCAGTGTGAGCAAAGTCATGATGGATGGGGTCTACTGACGACATGCGCGGGTCGATGCCTGTTTTGGCGAGAGCCCCTGCACTAGCAGCATTGTGGTTCGCACCGCCAACACTGCGACTTCTTCCATCACGCATGCGCCACCCCCATTACGACTTTTGTTGATTGTCGACACTCGAGTCCTCCTATTCAGTGTCTCTTATACTAGGCAGACGCGGCGACCGGGTCACGCATGTGCCGCTAATGTGGCTGTGGGAAGATCCTGACGGCCCTCAGCCACCAATCGATTCCTGTGGCCCCGAAGACTCAATGTACTTCAAGATGATTACAACTAAGCTTTCCAGACTTCTCTTTTATTTCGTGTAAGCATGGCTGTACTTACTTCAACCTTCCTCGTTCCTTGGAATACCACCAACTTATGTGCCACCTGCCGCCTAGTCGCGAAACATGACACAACACAACGGTACTACGCGAAACCTCTAAAGATAGCGGCTGCGCGAGGCTGTACTCTCTGTAGATACTTCTACGAGGAGCTTGTCGTTGGCTTCTTAGGACGCTCCGTTGGAGACGCCCATCTTGAAGTAGCTCGGCATGGACCTTGTCTAGCAGTAATCGACTTTAGCAACACGTTGCATCGGTTCGAGATATTCACTGAGCGTAGGTAGCAGCGATAAGAAGCTACCGATAAGAGGCTGACACTGAACAGGTGAGTACCCAAGCAACCAGACTTTCTTCAGACGGATCCACTCGCATGCCGATTCCGAACCGTGCTGGGATTTGATACATACATGGCTCGACAGGTGCACATCCACTCATGCATGCTGTCATCAAGAAGGAACACCGTCCATGCCAAGCATACTGCTGAACGTGGAGACGTTGAAGCTGGTACATGGATCGTCCTGTAGAGGCGACAAGCGTTATGCCGCACTCAGCCACTGCTGGGGCGCTGCGGGCACTATGTCAGCCACCTTAAGGGCAACCGTGGAAGGGTTCAAAACTGGCCTGGACACCCATTACCTCCCGCAAAACTTTCGAGACGCCATCTACGCTACCCGAAGGTTGGGCCTCAAGTTACTTTGGGTCGATGCACTTTGTATCGTACAAGACAATGCTGCGAGCCGCGACCTAGAAGTCAGCAACATGGGAAGCTACTACCGAAATGCTTTCGTCACGCTCTCCATACTGAGCGCACAAGACTCCCATGTCGGCTTTCTCAAACCCCGAGAGTCAGTATCAACGATCAGTCTGGGTGAGAACCTTCATCTTCGTCGAGCGCGGCCCACTTGGAGCGAAGTGCTTCAGGAATCCCCACTGAACAAACGAGCGTGGGTATTGCAGGAACGATTGCTGTCAAGGAGAGTCGTGCATTTCGAGAAGAACGAGATCTTCTGGGAGTGTCTCGAGACCTCTGCAAGAGAAGGTAGTTTGGAGGAGAACCCAGAAGCATGGCAAGAGGGCGAGTGGTCCAACGAGAGCTTCAAGCGCTGCCTTACTTTCGCCAACAATTCGGCCGTGGGGGAGTTTGGCAGACATGTGCCGGAAAGCGAGGCCTTTATGATGCAATGGTATCGCATTGTATGTCAGTACTCTCGGCTGAGTCTCACATACCGCAGCGATGTCTTCATGGCGATTGCTGGCATTGCGCAGATATTTTGCGAAGTCACCCATTTTACATATAAGGCTGGCTTCTGGAGAGAACATGTCCATGCTGGCCTCCTCTGGTATGCCGACGGATCGCTCATGCCCGTGCGACGGGTTACCGCTAGCTCCAGTCCACCTTCTTGGTCGTGGGCTTCTCTGGATGGCCCAGTAAACATGATCTTCAGCCGCGAATCAAGGACGATCGACACCCAACTTGCAGCCACGGTGCTTGAACACCAACCCAAGCTCGAGCGAGCCGTTACTTCCTTTGCGCATATTGGGGATGGCGTTCTGATGCTGGAGGCCTATAGCCTCGACGTTGTCTGCCGCTCGTGCTCAGACGGAAGCGCTCCATACAGCGACCCTTATCTTCGCATGGTGGTCGAGATTTTCGACGAGCGTGGTGTCTGTATCGGTACAGGCTACCACGATCGCATCCCAGAAAACTGTAATACCCAATGCATGGCTCTGATCGTATCGCAGAGAGTGAACACAAACTTCAGTAGCACTCCCATTACTTACTTCCTGCTGGTTGTTGAGTCGCACCGCTTTGCGGAGACCTGCTACGAGCGAATAGGCATCGCGCAGACAGCCGATAAGACTTACGGTCATGTACTGGACACGTTGAACATCAAGCCTGAGCAGAAGAGAAAGGTTATACTTGTCTAAATACACATTCCCAGCATGTCTTTATCTCCTAGTTCTTCCTGATGCTTGCGAAAGCTTTCATTCCACGCCTTCATTTGAGTCCACCCCGCGTATCCTCCTCCTCTCACCAACGACCCACCGATCAAACAACATACCTTCAATCTTCGGCCCAGGGTGAACATCTAAAATCTCATAAAACATCTCATAACCTCTTGGTCTCTGCTCTTTCTCCAGTCTCTCAAGCAGAGCAAAGTCCCTCAGGTGGGGAGTCATTCTGTACTCATGTGCGCGTAGACGGTACCTCAGTACCACCTCTCTAAGATCTGCGAAACCCCCAAGCGACGCATAAAGGCCCTCACAGTGATCGAAAATGCCAACGCCGCTGAACCAAGACGAAGAGAATGTATCATCGATAACGATATTTCGGATCCGAGCGAGGCGTTGCGGAAGGACTGTCGATGTGAAGATAGACAGTATCTTGCTATTGTCGAATCTGAACGTGTTATTGGAGTAAAGCACCGGAACGGCCTCGCGGTACCTGTACCTTTTGTAAGTTTTCTGCTCAACGAGCCTGCCCGAAAGCGAGGAAGAAACAGACATTTTCTTGCAAGTTCTCAGCACCTCCGTGTTGCAGCCTGATACCGCCTTTATCCTCCAAAGATCCCAAAGTTCCTCTCGATTAAACCTCAATCCCACTTCCTCCTGCTCAGAGAGCACAATCGCATAGATCTGCAGTCTCAACTCTGCAGGCAACTTGGTAAAGAATGAACTTTGCGATTGATATTCCGCATTCTTCCTCCATACCCCCCGGGTCCTGTCAACCGAAACACTGCGCTTTCTCTTCTCCAAAGCACGCACGCGTCTCCGATGTTCGATTTTAGCCAAGGCGTCATATCGCCTTTGCTGTGCTGTAGATGGACGGCCGGGGGGACGTTTGATACAGGTGTGGGGTTCGATGGATCTGAGCCAATAACACAGACCACAGAGAGGGCAAGTGACGAGTTTGCAGCAGAGGCGCAGGGCGGAGCTGGTGTGCCATGTGTATACTATGGCATCTTTGATGGGCTCAAGAATTGGCATCGTGTTGTCTGAATGTTGTGTATGTTGAGATCGGGGGTTGTTGGCTGAAGATATGTGTTGTGGGTGGCCTTGTTTGATCTTGCGAAGGAGGCGGCGCAGTTGGTGGGGTCCGTCCCCTGTCGTGGCTTCGTCAGGCAACCATATCCTTGACGGTGAACACACAGCCCATCTTCCTCCAGATCGTGCTTGGCATATGCTCAATCTTTGCCTGGTTACTAGTGGTGCTATTCGGGGGAAGTGGTGTCATCTGGTATATACATAGCTCTAGCCTGGCATGTTGGGTGAACCCGACAGCTACCGTGAAGGTATTCGCAGTATCGCAGATCTCAAGCGCACCACCGCAACTCGCAGCGATTGCCTCCACGGCAAACTATCAAAGCATGCAGCACGTTTATCACATCACCGTAGACTACACCTCTCGCCAACTTCCCACCTCGTCCAGCCCTCCAGACACCACGTCCTACGATCGTATTCCCGTTCCCGGAACCTCTCTAGCCCTTCCACTGATCCAACAATCTCATACCAAACCTCCACGCCACCCATATCATTCCTTCGTCCCATCTCGTCCAATAACGCAAGCTCGCTTTGTAGCCAATACGGATCGCCACCGGCAGATAAAACCTCGTAGCTCATGACCAGAACCTTCAGCCTCGGCAAAGAAGTGATGATTGTGAAGAAGTCGTCGTATGTACAGTTACGGCGATATCGTTCCTCCTCGGTCTCATAATCGGTTGGGCCGTCAACCGTCATTGTGCTTTGTGCGATGGTTATGTGTGTGAGGTTGGCTAAACGCGGTGGTGGAATGGAGCGGGTGAACATGACGAAGCCACGGTAGGTTTTGAAGCTGAAAGTATTGCCTGAGTAGAGTACGTCAATGGCTTCGCGGTAACTGGCGGAAAAAAACTCAGCGGGTGTAGATGTAAGTGTGGGGGTATACTAACATTCTTTTACAGGCACGCAATATGCTTACTGAGCATCCAAGTTCAGCCTTGAACTCGAACAATTCCTTCCTGCCATTAGTGTCTGCCTTTGCCTCTGAATCCACAACACTCATGTTCCGTTCGCACAGAACCAACTCATAGATCATCACTCTCAACTCTGCAGGTAATCTACCAAAGAGATTGCTCTGCAATTGCTCCACGGTTTTCTTCCGTCTCGTAAACGGCATCTTGGTGTGCTTCCCGTCCACAGACACACTTCGCTTTCGGTTTGCCACGGCCCGCTCTCGCCGCGCCTGCTTTACCTCGCTCATGACGCGGACACGCTCTTCTTGTTTTCTTCTCCGATTCCGCCCAGTGCAGTCGCGGAGCCCGGCTGAGCGAGTGCAGTAACAATAGCCCAGACATGGGCATGTGAAGCGCTTTACCCAGCGACGAAGGCGGGCGCTGTCGTTCCAAGCGTATAGGACAGACTCATGGATATAAGTGAACGGTCGCATCTCCAGCCTAACAGAATTTTCTGATGAGGAGTTAAAAAGTTTGTTTTGTAAATGACCTTGCGGATTGAAATGTTGACGGACGCTGGTGAGGCTGAGCATCGGGTGGCTATGCGGGGCCCTACAATAGGCAACAACTTTGTACCATGCCGTTTCGAAAGAATGACAAAAGTAAGCGACCTAGAAGTCTGCATTACTTGGGAAATTTGTAGAGACCTGTTTCAATACTCATCTAGTTTGCAATTATCTGTCTAGGTTGTTGCTTGTGTACGGTAAAATGAGGAGAGGGAATGAACGCGCGACACTCTGCGCGATCAAGCGCGACTGCGCATACAAGGTGTAGCCAAGTTACACTATCCGACAAGCTCTGCAGGCCGATGGGATACGAGAAAACTGATCATGTCGATACTGAGCGTTCAGAGCTGTGAGAATTCCTTGAGAGAAGTCTGAAGCTGTTGTTCTCCGAACGGAAGGAGCACAAGAGCCAAGTCGGATCAACAAAGCAAAAGCCCAGCATCCGGGTTACCAAAGTTAGTCATTCCACAATTTCCCCGCCCCCGCAAACCTAGCCTCGCACCAACTCCACCGAACCCATTCGCATGGCACCACTGGCAGCCGGGTATACGGGACTCACGGAGACATCTCCTGATATCGTGACTATGCCAGCCCCGCTCCCGATGATACCCCAGCGTGCAAGCGGACGCGGCCCTCTTGTGCGAGCCGCGTCGCCTCACGATGCCCGCAATCCGGGCTTGGCCATTCGTCCAGAACCCGCAACATACATAGATATGTAAGGCGGCACGGCGGCAACAGTGGGTACCTACCCTCTTCTAGATCACATGTACACCTGGGGGCTGTGCGCATACGTTCCGAGAAGCGGAACCGAGGTCGCTCCTTTTTAGAGTTGGCAAAGCGGAGGCGCAGATCGTGTCATGTCATCTGCTATTGAAAGCGCGTTTGTAAATACGGTTGTTGATCGAGAGGAATCTGAGTTATGGGACTACCGAACTGGGGTGATCAAGACCGGGCTTCTACATTCACCATGCGCGCAGCAAGATACTACGGCAAAGAGGACATCAGGATTGAGGATGTGGATGAGCAGAAGTGCGGGGCGGGACAAGTCAGGGTATGTGTTTGAGGCTTGGAAGCGGCTTGCGCGATGACTGACAGTGTGTAGGTCGCACCGGCCTTCGTAGGCATCTGTGGTACAGATCTTCACGAATACCTCGGAGGACCTAATTTCGCGCCGACGACACCGCACCCGTGTACGAACGAAACGATTCCCATTACCCTGGGGCACGAGTTCTCAGGGACTGTGACTGAAGTGGGTTCGGATAACTCGAGCTTCACGGTGGGCCAGAATGTCGTTGTTCAGCCGACGATATATTGTGGGAAATGCGAGGCGTGCAAGGCGGGCTCAGAAAACGTATGCGAAAACGGTGGTTTCATCGGGCTCTCGGGAGGAGGTGGTGGTTTGAGCGATTCAGTCGTTGTGCCTGAAGGCGCAGTATTGAACTTGCCCACCAACGTGCCGCTCGACGTCGGCGCGCTGGTGGAGCCACTGGCTGTTGCGTGGCATGCTATCTCAGCTGCCCCACTGACACCCGACTCCGTTGTCATGGTCCTGGGTGGTGGACCGATCGGGCTGGCAATCGTCCAATGTCTCAAGGCCCTGGGTACTAAGAAGATCATCGTGAGCGAGGTGTCGGGCGCGCGGCAACGCTTCGCAAGGGAGTTCGGCGCGCACCATGTCCTCTGCCCCAAAACATACGACGTTGCGAAGATGAGCAAGGCTCTGAGTGGAAAAGATGGACCGGATGTGGTTTTCGACTGCGCTGGCGTTCCCGCAAGTCTCACAACGGCTTGCACGGCGGTGCGCGCTCGAGGGACGGTCGTCAACGTCGCGATTTGGGAGAGGGAAGTTCCGTTCAACCCGAACATGCTCGTGTTCCGGGAGGCGCAGTACACAGCCGTTTTGGGCTACCAAAGAAAGGACCTCGAGGCCGTCATCGAACATCTAGCTGCTGGTAAGTTGTGCGGTGAGCGAGAACTACTACCTTCGGATGCTGACTTGTCTTTAGGTACTCTAAAACCCATGAAGATGATTACCAGCAAGATTAGCCTGGAGGATCTGGTAGAAGGCGGGATCAAGGCCCTAATCAACGACAAGGAGAACCATGTCAAGATCCTGGTTGAAGTTGGAGGTATGAGTCGCGTGGATTCTGCCATACACTGAAGTTGTCGTGTTCATATAGATCGAAGATATCCAGTAATGCTATGAGTGTGTTATGGTTGTAAAGCTTGAGTGGTGTTTTGCAATTGGCGTATCGAAGCGTGACCATTTGGGTTCGCAGCTCCACCTCGGTCCTGGGCAGCTTGCAGGGTCCAGCATGCCGTCACTTCCGCAAAAGTAATCTACGCGTCTGGTGAAGACGAAGCACCCCACTACCTCTATCATGACTTTGATAGCCGCATTAGTTCATGCCTTCATAACCGCCCACATATTTCGATCACCATACTAACGACAATGTCTTCGCTAACCCTAGACTCAATGGCTTGTTGCCAAGCGCCGTATACGGTGCGGCTGATGCCCATCTGCGGTAACGAGCTTTGTGCGCTGCAGTGTTGTGCCTCTGTAACGACAGGAGAGCGTCTTATGCTCGCTCTAGAGTTCACTGATATCACGATATAGACCATGTCGCAGTACAACTCGATGCCGTCCCCAGGGGTCTACGTTCCCCCATCCCAAGGCTCTCCAGCGCAATCGCAAGGCGCCCAGCGGCCCTCGAGCTATCAGCCCAATGCCACGAACTATGGAGCACAATATCAGGCTCAGAAGGGAGGAGGCACGTTTGGCCAGATGATGAATCAGCGGCTTGAGCAGGCGGTGACAACAGGAAAGCCAATGTTGAACAAGCTGGGCAAGACTATAAGCTCAAAGCTAGGGAACAAGCCTTCGGGAGGCCCACCGCAACATCTGCAGAGCTATCAGAGTTACCAGACTCACTTTGGGCAGCAGGGCCAGAGTCAACCATATCAGCAACCTCAGGGTCATGCTTTCAGTCCTCAGCCGCAACAGCAGCAATGGGCACCTACGCAGCATCAACCCCCACCTCAAGCGCCGAATGCCTACCCACCTTCGCAGCAGTCTCCGTACCAGCAACCCAGCTACTCTACACCCGCTTCCGGCCACTCGGGGCAGACCAACTACTTCCCACAGCAGACGACTCAAGCGCCCAACACACAGTCTCATACGCCGCAGTCGCCGCTCACGACCGCAGGACATACTTCATGGCAATACGGCCAAGGCGGCGGGATAGCGGAGCATACACAGACACACGGATACAATGGGCAGAATCAGGCGCAGCCGGGTCAGCCTCAGGCGCCTGTCCCGCAACCGACACAGGAATCTGGCCAATATACTGGACAGCAGATGGGAGTAGTGGGAGACTCGTACGTCGCTCAACATACACCACCACCCCAGACTACGACCATGTCTCCGGGGATACCCGCCCAGCCCATGCAGCCACAGTGGGAACAGGCAGGTGCCGGACAGCAGTCGAGTTCCCCAACATATTCCACACAGCAGAACACCACTGCGGCAAGCCCGCCACCTCATTCACAGCAACAGTGGAATAGCCCGTCTCCAGGTGGTGCATACGGCCAAGGACAGTCGCAGATGCCTGCCCACTCCGTTAGCCCTCCGCCTATACAGCCGATGACTACGGCACCTCAAATGCCGTCAAACAAACCTGCACAGTCAAGTCAGTCGTCAACGCCCGCACCGCATCAGGCTCAATATTCTGCGCCGCACGAATTCATCGCGGAGCTTCCTGCAGATCTTGGAAACTTGACTATTGCAGAATCGAAGCCGAAGGAACGTGAACCATCAGTCTCAGGTTCGCAATATCAAGCCTTCCACCCTTCGCTATCTCCGACTGGATCGCCATCGCCTGGCTTTACCATTCCTCGGCGGTCGTTTAGTGTCAGCACGATTCCACTGGCTGATCCGTGGAGGTTTGCAGATGCGATCACTGAAGTTCCAACACGCGAGTTCTACATTCTGGCCGATTTGCTTTTCGACGCTCTGGACCGGAAGTTTGAGCCAAAGAACACGGGCCTTCTGGAAGCACCAAAGATCATCGGAAGCTGGGTGAAATTGACCGAAGACGCGTGTCGTGAGTGTCTGAATTGCCGACAGATGATGCAAGACTAATGTGAAGTCAGGTCTTTTTTCCTACAGGTCCTATAGCGCTTTTGCAAAGCTGTGGAGTCTCGAGGGAATCCCCCACATCATGGTGCCCTGCCAATCCAACCTGACACCAAACTGGAACTTTAATCAACATTCGCATGCGCAAGATGCAAAAGTAATCGCTGATTTGCCAACGCCGATGACAACATACACGGCGTACATGCCGGCTCTGAACCGGGCGGGATGGTACAAATTCTTCTTTCTTGAGATGATGCACGCGCCAGAAGATATCGGTGATTTGATGGCACTGTGCGCAGACACGTATAAGCCGGGGGTGCTGAACCACCCCGACCTCAACAAGCGGGACAAAACAGAAATGCCAGCACTGCAGGCCAGAGCTGCAGAAATCCAGACATTTGCAATCGGGCGCGTGTGTGAGGAGACGAAGGCTGCGATGGCAGTCGACCCCGATGTTCTTCCGGCGCACACGCACTCTACCGCACCTACCTCGGGACCCACGCAGACTGGGGCAGGTATGACGCCACAGGACATGACGGTGAGCATGCACAAGATGCAGGCAGAGCGGCAGTTGAATGACATGGCAGCCTGGAAATGGTAGGTTTGCAGGCGGGAGGTCATGTGGAAGGCAGTTTCGTGTAGAATGGGCAAACACAATGCGATGACGGCAATGCCGTGTAACCGTAAACGCTGCGCTGGCCATGGTGCGACGGAATTGAATGCCGATGGCGATGTTTGCCCAGATCTTGTCCTCGAGTGCCCAGAGGGCTAGCAAATTAGTGGGCAGGCGTTGACAGGCGCAAGTTCCAACGTCGGCGCGGGTACCTGCCTTGGTGCCGGTGGCGGTGTGGGTGTAGAATGCGCTGTCGCACGCATACGATGCGCTTTCCTGTGTCTCTACCATGCCCTACGTGGACGGCCGTGGCTCTCGTGTTGTTCCCCAGGAGTTCTACGGGCGTCATCCCTATAGGGTGCATGGTCGGCCATGTTTCATCTCGGCAAGCGGTTATGATCTCAACGATAAACATGCAATCTACGCATTGACGTCCACGCGTTGGGCCTTGCCCGATTGAGCGTCGATCTGCAGGTACACCTTGCTTGTTGCGCCTTGGGCCTTGCTTTGTGTGGAAGTCGCGCGAGGGTTGCACCAACAAATAATTCTGGCCGGCCTCGCGTCCAGCCTCTTATCTTGCACCCTCCCATCGCCGCTTTTCTGCTATTCTTCACGACTTTGACGCTGCAAGCCCATATCACGAGTATCTTCTATCCCGCACTCTTCATAACCATCACGAGTAATACGATACGACATACCCTCCCATACTTGTGGGTCTTAGCTTGTCAGGGATCCTCGACCGTCACCATGCGCACTTCCACCATCTTCGCTCCGCTTTTCCTCGCGGCCACTGGCCTCGCCCAGGCCGTCGAGGAGGGCATTGCTCCCGATGCCTCTGCGCCCGAGGGCTGCAAGACGACTGTCACGACGCCCTTCCGAATTGGCACACTCGAGAACCCCAGTCTCAGGAGGCGCGAAACTGCTCAAGAGGTATGCCGCTCCCCTGGACTCTTACTTTTAACATCATACTAACACCATCACCAGGCATCTGACGGCGACCTCCTCTGCACTCTCGAAGACGGTATCCTCCACGACCAATATGGCCGCACCGGCTCCATCGTCGCCAACCAACAGTTCCAGTTCGATGGCCCTCCCCAGGCAGGCGCAATCTACACAGGCGGCTTCTCAGTCTGCGGCAACGACTCGCTCGCCATAGGAGGCAGCACCCGCTGGTGGCGCTGCATGAGCGGTGCTTTCGGCAACCTGTACGACTCGTGGATTGGCGACCAGTGCCACGAGATCCGCATCCAGGCCCTCTTCGACGAGACTGCCTCAAGCATGAGCAGCGACATGAGCATGTCGATGAGCAGCACCACCTCGAGTGCCCTGTCCGGATCTACTAGCATCATCTCCGCCAGCGAGACCAGCGGCCTCACCAGCGAGAGCAGGAGCATGCACTCCATGTCAACCGGCTCTGCTTTCTCCTCTGCCACACCCTTCTCCAACAGCGCGACTGCCACTGGCTCTGAGGGTGCCGAGGCCAGCGAGACTGGTGACGCCGCAGCTCCTCCTGCCGACGGTGCCGCTTCGTCCATCTCCATGGCTCCTTTCGCCATGGTCGGCGCGTCCATGGTCTTCCTCGGCGCTGCTCTCATTCTCTGAGCATCGCGTTACACCACCGAGTTCTTTTGAGAAAACTTCTTCTTATTCCCCCGCATGGCATGTCAGGCTTCACATAACCCCTGCATGTCCACCGCCTCGCCTCGCATTGCATTACTTCCACCGCATGTCTTCCCTGCATTAGCGAGCATGTCGCCGGCGCTTGTTGTTACTCTTCATGTTGATAGCTTGCGAGCGCAATGATTCGATGAGCTAGCTTTGGCGCATTTTTTGTTTATTATGGTTTGATGCAGCGCATGGTGTTTTGAGATATACACATTACGCATTCGGCATACCCAGCTTGGGATAGATTCCAGGCCTTAATCATAATACTTTGGAACACTTTGTCTTGAAATTGCTAGTTGATCGTGATGTTGTGTGATGCTGAATCCTTAATCGGGTATGTAGTGTAACAGAGGTATTGTCACATACGCATCTCTCTGGTCTTACACTGAGTGTACTGAGACATAACCGGAAGGTATACATGGCATTGTATCCCACATATTTGATAGTACAGACAATAACGTATGCCGCGATAACGAGTGCAGAATACGGATTGAGAGAACCTAATCTCCTTGTAGGCGTCTGAGTCAACACGAATGCCTTTCTTTGATCATAGTACCATCGCATTATTCGGTGTCTGCCAGGAATGTAGGGGTGATAGACACCAGCTGGAAACCTCGAGACACTATTCAAACAATCGGCAAAATATTACAAGTATATCTAGTCCAACGGAGATCATCCTCACATCGAAATGAAAATAAATCATCCACCATGCCAGCCCGCCTGCAGACCCAAACCATTCCATTCCACATCTCAATCCTGCCATTATATCCCACCCCACCTGCCACCATCTCAAAAATCACTGCCCAGCTCATCAAAGCTATCATCCGGCACAGCCATGGCCACATTACTACTCTCCAACAGTCCCCTCACCCTCTCCACCACCTCCCTCTGCCCCCGCCACTTTTCCACCATCCCCTCAATCTTACTCCTCAGCTCATCACTCCACGCCACAGGGTTCCTCGGTATATTCTTCGCATTGCGTATCACAGCCGGCAGCAGAATATTCATCTGGAAGCCAGGCATGTTCATGTAGGATTTGAATTCAGAGTATGTTTCATCGAGGTCGCGGAGGGCGGACTCCATGGTTTGATAGGAGGAGTGGAGGGTGTGGAGGTAGGTGAGTTGGGAGGTGGTGAGGGAGGCGGCGCGGCGCAGGAGGAGTAGTGTGGTCATGGCGTCGTTTTCCGTGGGCGTGAGGCTTAGGGGTGTGTGTTTGGGGGATGGGGCGCTGGCCCAGAGGGGTGGGAGGAGCCGCATGTGCCAGAGGATGCGGAGGTCGTCTTTGCTGTCTGTGAGGGAGCGCATGAGGTGGGTGCGGCGGACGGAGCGGAGGCAGTCTTCGTGGTGGGAGAAGGTGTAGGGGGAGGCGGTTTTCTGGGTCGTGGATGTCAGCATGTTCATGCGAGCTGTTTCGAAAGCAGACCTACTTGTTCTAGTAGTAGCCGGTATTGTCGTTCTGTCTTGAGGAAGCGGATGAGCATGTCTTTCCACGCAACCCGTATCAATCCCGTTTGTAGTGTGACATCGACGTCGAAGTGCATGCGCCGCCATTCGCATGGGAGATCCAAATCCCAAACCGCGTGGTCGAGCCGGATGCACCAGCGCAACGTCCCGAAATATTCTTCCCTGCGGCGCAACTGCAGTCGGTCCAAGACACTATACCAGTCTGAGTCCACGTCGAGAATGGTATCGCCATCATGCGCTTCCGCACCGCCTACGTGCCTGAATGCGTCATACCACTCCTCTGCGATCTCAAAAACGGCGTGCGTCGCGCTCCACGCGGGTCGATTTGTCTCCGGGTCTGACGCAGTGTCCCACTCGACGTGCGAAAACCCTGCTTCGAGTAAATGGACCGACTCGTACTGTTCGTCGTCCAAGTCCACCATGAGTCCAAAATCTCTCGCACCCATATACCCCACCAGCTCCGTCCTCTGCAGACAGCGGTATAGGACCCGTCCGTCGATCGCATCGCGAAAGCCACGGCAGACTAACCGCCAGTCGAGGATATAGTCCACAGGGACATGTTCGAGAATCTGTAGGAGCAGTTCTGCGGGGAGGTGCGCTAGCGTCCTATCGCTCGTAGAAGTCGATCGGTCTTGGCTCGAGTCTATGGCGGTGATGAGCGCAGCCACATCGTCGGTGGAGAAGCCGAGCTGGATATGTCGCGCGAGGTAGGAAGGCAGGGGTGCGTTATCATGGTCATCGTTGCTGCTGCTGGGTGGATGCGCATTGCTGGAGGGGGCGTGGATGGGGAGGCCAGCGGGCGCTCTAGCGCGCCCCGGTGACTGCGACATTAAAGTTGATCCCAGGTGTGGAGATGCGGGGATGCGCGATGGTTAGGGGATGGTGTGTGTTTTAGTGTCGGTCCGAATCGGCAGGCACGTGGTGTGGCACAGCTGCGCTCCAAGGGATTACGAGACTTGTAATACCACACGGTGATATTGATATAATCGATAACGACGTTGTGTCTGATGACTTGCTGTTATGGTACGTTGATGTAAGGTTCACGATCGTCGACGCGGGACTTGCTAATGCTTCCAAGTTGGCCGTGCCTGCCTCGGTACCCGTGGACACCGCGACACTCCCTCACCTTATTCAAGAGAGTGACCTAACACCATGGGGGCTACATCGACGTTGATCCAGCTACTTTGCGTGTGTTCATCTCAGGGTAGACTGCAGGCCTGTTCAATTCCCCCCTCGACCCGCCGCTCCCCTCAACCATGACCCGCCCAGGAACGCGCCGCATAAGTTAGGGAACTCGCGTATGTTCGGCAACTCGAGACCAGGGAGCTATCCTTAAACTCCAGAGCGAAGCGAGTGGGTCAGACATCTTAGCTACTGATGGTTTAGTTCCAGCGGCTCGCCCCAAGTGGGGTACATGTCCATCCCAGTTCTGAATGCATAGTCCGCAGCTTCCTACGGATATGGACAGCCGTTCAGATTCCTACACAGACTCCAGCGCATGAGGGGAAAGCTATTCCGATGGCGCAGCGATGCATCTTATCATGGCTTCCAGTCGAACTTTGGCTCGTTCAGCGCCTTCTACCCGTAATCCCCAGCATACCGACCAACTTCTTGATACTTTGTCAAAATGGCACCCACAGTCCGTCGACCAGTCCGCGTGGGCGGTGCCTCAGGCGGCTTCTCCGACCGTGTTCGAGCCATTGCATCCCTCGCCAAAGACGACGTCGATGTCATAGTAGGGGACTGGCTCTCCGAAATGACCATGACCATGCATGGCACCGGAAAGCTCAGGAACAAGGAGCAGATGCTACAAGCTCGCTCATTCGGGGAGAAGCTCGACTATGCCATGTTCGCTGAGA